CTGAGTGCTTTAGGTGAATTTCCTCATTTAATTCATGACAACACTATGAGATAAGATCATTGGTTCCCCTTGAGAGATGAAGAAACAGGTTCAGAGAGGTCGAGCCATCTGCCTGAGGTCCCTGAGCGATCACACCTATCTTTCATGAGCTTTGTTTCTCTAGTTTGAAAGCTTTGGGGAGCAGGGGCCTTTTCAGGACACAGCCCACACAACCCCAGATGTTGTTATCTGGGCCCCGCTGTGTCCAAATGTTTACTTGTGAGATCAAGGCCACTGTACTTGAGTACACTGCCACCATTCCCCCCCGCCCCCAATCAGATACGTTGATATGTTCCCTGGGTCCTTTAATCCCAGGAACACCAGAGGGAATGAGAGGGACCCCAAGGGACCACACCTTCCCAGCCAAAGGGGTAAAGCAAAGGGAGAGGCAACCAGCTGAGGAAGCCAGCCCCCTAGTTAGTCAGCAGGTATGGCCCTGGCCATGACCCTTGACCCACCCCCAAGCTGTCATTAAACTAATGATCTTTGAGCAATCAGTGAAATGACATCGCACAACTACCCTGGCAAGGGAATGAAGCTCCTGCTCCGGCTCCTGACCTCCTAGGCTTTCTCCACCGGCAGTTCTGCTAGAAATGTCCATCTCCAGGGAAAGTGAGCCCAGAGAGGAGTCTGGCTGGTGAGCAAGGCCAGAGGCCAGGAGGATACCCAGGGAGCAGGGAGACTTTGACCAACCACCCGTGTACAGAGCAAAGCTTCTAGAAGCCAAGACGGAGGGATCCAGGTAGCATAGAAGAACCCTCCTGATCCACGTTCTCCCCAGCGCCTTCTCCCTGACACCCACATCTCCCATCCCCGTTTCCCACCCCTTCATCTCCACGTACATAAAAGCTGGAGCCTCTAAACTCCAGGACAGACCTGGGTTGCCCAGAAGAAATGTCACCTGGAAAATTGGACTCTTCTGACTTTCACAAACCAAAGGACCCTAACATTAGAGGGCTTGGAAGCGAGGAATGCTGCAAGTGTTTATGTGGAAAAGACCTGGTGGTTTCAGGCCAGGTTTAAGATCCCAAGAGCCAGGAAAGCCAATAAAGCAAATGCTAAATCAGGCTGCATTAGCAAAAATATTACACCTAAAGCAAAGGAGGTGCTGGGCTGAAGGCAGTTAAAGGCCAGGTCTGGGTACTGAAAAAAACTGAACATCTGGGTGTGTTGGAAAGAACCAAGTCCAGGTGAGAATAACATCTGTCATTTTGGGGTACTTAGTATGGGCCAGTCACCATGGCTCCTGCTGGGTGGACAGTCTCTTACTTGACCCTCACAATTCTATGAGGGAGGGACAGTTATTATCCCTTTGTGACAGATGAGGAAACTAAAGGACAAGCAGGTCAAGCTGTTAGTGGATGCACATGGTCATGTGATTCCACCACATTTCAAGGCCAGCCTCTTGGTCAGGAGGCTAGACTTGGTCGAGTACAGATCCAGAAGCAAAATTAGTACCTGTTGGGAGGAGGCGTAGTTATTTCTTAAGACCAGAGTGTAGAGAGGGCTTCTGAGGTACTGAGCTCAGAAGTCCTTAGAAGTATGTGAGCAGACTGGATAAACATCTCCATGAACAGTTGAAGGCATCCCTAGATGGGTCCCGGTTTAGCAGCCTGCGAGCTCTAGGATTCTCTCCTGGGCTCTATGAAACTGTCCATATAGGCCCTCCCTACCCACTTTTGCCCATCTTTCCCTCCACCTCAGTCCTCCATGATTTTTCTGGAAGCCCAGAGGTCCCTCATCATAACCCCTCCCCATCCTCTGAGTAGGACTCCCTTTTCAAAAACATCAGTCAGAGAACCTCAGAACTCAGGGTTTCAAGACATGACCTGACCTGGGAGAGCCTCCCACGAGGCTGAGGAGCCTCCTGGCAGGAAAGGAAGGAGGGCAGGCAAAGTCAAGTCTTCCCATACACCTGTCCCAGTCCCACCCATCCACAGAACAGGAGCCATTCTCTGAGGACACCCAGTGGCACAGGGGCTTCTAGGAGAGGCAGGGTCATCCTATAGTTAACTGGTCAAAGCCCTGGCTTGGAATTCAAAAAGATTCCTAAGTAGGAACACTGGAATGTGAACCTGCTGAGACTCTACCCACTTCTTCTGGGGGGGGGGGGAGCCTCTCACAGTCTCCCGCAGCCCACCTGAGGGAAGCAAGTGCCTTTTTTGGAGCTGGGAGCAGGATAGGGTGGGTGGACCCACAACTGGCATCCAGCGCCAGTGCAAGCCGCTAATTAACTTCATGGCCCCAGGCCAGTTGCTTCACCTCCTGGCTGTTTCCTCTCTGTAAGAGGTGATAACCATCCTGCCCAGTAAGTCCTGACAGAGATGAATGGCCCATGCAGCCCTGTGAAAAGCCGCCTGTGTTTACACCCAGGCTAAGTACTACTATTAATCACACAGGGGTGGGCTTGGGAGGGCCCCTCCTGGTCTGACCTGAAATGTCACTCCCAGACAGGATGCTGGATCCTGTTCTTTCCTGAGGGCAGCCTGGGCCTGTTTCTAAAGAAGAGAAGGGAGCACTCAGCAAACATGCACCAATGTTGGTGATGATCTTTGGACTGCGATGTCTGATTCCATCTGCACACCACGCCCTGATGTCCGCAGGCCTCAAACACAGGGGCATGGCGCCCACCCGCCCCTTCCTGCCAGGAAGGCTGTCCACTCACAGCCTGCCCTCCAGCTGAAAGGAAAATTCCTACAGTAGACCTCCAGGGTCGGAGGCAGTGACCAGGGGAAGGGAAAGGGAGGGTGGGGGTTACACTGTGCTGGAAGCCAATTCTGGGAACTCTTAGATCCCCCAAGTCTCACAGATATGTTCAACAATGATGTCTTGGTTGAGGGGACCCTCGGGGGACAGAACAGGCTCTGGGGCTCAAGGATGAGGATAATTAATGGTCCCTGAGTGTTCTGAACAGAATAGTGAGCCTTGGGGGGTCCCAAGAATTGGGACTACTAGTTGTTTTTTTCCTCAGCAACAGCTGGATCCTTAATATAATCAGATGTGTCTGTCCACTTTCTTTCTTTTTTTTTTTTTTTTTTTTTGGTACTGGAGATTTAACTCAGGAGTGATTTACCACTGAGCTACATCCCCAACCCACTCTTTTTTTTTTCTTTTCTTACTTTTGAGACAGGGCCTCACTAAGTTACTGAGGCTAGGGGCTGGGGTTGTGGCTCAGCGGTAGAGCGCTCAACTCGCAACGACAGGGCCCTGGGTTTGATCCTCAGCACCATATAAAAATAAATAAACAAAAGAGAGAGGTATTGTGTCCAACCACAAATAAATATTAAAAATTTAAAAAAGTTACTGAGGCTGGTTTTGAACTTGCAATCCTCCTATCTCAGCCTCCCATGCCATTAGGATCCAGTGTGCACCACCAGTACCTAGTTGGCTGTCCACTTTCAAAGTGGTGTTGTGTTCTTCTTATTGGCTACCTCAAACCAGTTCCTTGTATTCCAAGTACAAAAACCAAGGTCCACTCAGGGTAACCAAATGCTTAAGACAGCAGAGAGAGTGGGCTAGTTAGGGCCACAACTTGGTCTCTTGACTGAAGCCAGCCCATGTCTACCCCGTGACAGTGTCGGTCCACAAGTAAGGGGGAGCCTACAAAGACTCATGACTTACAAACATGCCTAGGGCCCCTAGACCTGGTCCTGCCTTGACTCTCCTGTTTGTGGCCATCATCCAGGCCACAGGAAGAACAGAGGTAAGTGTTCAAGAATATCAAAAGAGCAGAGTTGAGCTGCCTGGGGAAACGGTAGAGAGCGGCACTGACCTACAGTACTGTGAAAAAGGCACAGCTAATAGTGGACATCTTCCCAGTTCAGGGAAGAAAGATTGGAAAGGGAGAAAGGTTCCCTGCTGGGCCCCACTTGAAGGGACTCTTCACAATCCTGTTGTGGGCAGTCCTCTTTGCCCATTTCACTAACAGCACACGACACCCAAGGTCAGGATGGTCTGGTCAGCCCAATCCCCATACAGGGGAGAACCACCAGGAAATGAGGCCTAGGCAGCAGTGTTCCCGACAGCAGGCTGGGCAGGAAATGGAGGGATGAGCCCCGCCCTGGCCCATCACCTCAGTGAGGAAGAGGACAGGTTTGTTCACTCCAAAGGACAATGACCAGACACAGAACTGTCCCTAATCTTGGTCAAGCCCACTTTCACTTTTCGCTGGGTCTTTCCACAGAAACTGGAGTTCGTTTAGTTTAACTGCAGGGGTTAGAAATGGCATCTTGGAGGAAGGGAGGACTCAGTAAGAGGAAGCCAAAAGAGCAGTCTGAGGGGAGAAAGGGGCTCCTGCCACAGGCCTGGTCCAATCCCAGCCCAGGCAGGGGCTCCACTGGAGGCCCCAGATGTAAGGTGGAGACCCCTGATGTAAGGTGGAGACCCTCTGTAGGTCATCCTAGGGGTGGCTCTCTGGGAAAGCCTCTTTGCAAATCAGACATCTAGTTATACATCACACTTATTTTCCTTTTGCTGTTTCTGGGCTATTACACTAAAGGTCCTGTTTCAAGGTTGTGAACTGGGCTCAGCCATGCTGGGCATGGTTAAGGAGGTCCCAGGACCCACCTTTGGGCCAAATGTGTTAAGAGTGAGAGAACAATCCCCTGAGGCCTGCCCAGAAGGGTCCCAGAGCAGGGGAATCTGTATACCCTCAACCCCCACTATATTTGCTCAGCTCAATGCCAGTCTCAGAGGGCACAAATCTTATCTCCTTGGGGCAGTCTTCCTCACAGGTCTCCTTTCTGCATCTAGAACCCCAGTCATCCTCTCACTTTAACAAAGCATGCACTTCTGCCAACTCCAGGTTCTGGGCCAGGGCTTTCTAAAGAAAAAGAAATGATCATAGAATTGTTACAAAAACCACAACAACCCCCAAACTTCCCAGAATGAAGCCCCTACCCGTTGGGCCTGTCCTATGCCCAGCCCAGCCCCTACCAGAAAAGAGTTATTACCCATTGAGCCAGAATTTAAAAATAATTATATTAATAATAAATATGTTAAATTACATTTAAAACAATAAATAGAAAAATAAACTGATAAATAAAATCAACAGGTACAAAATGTTTCAAAATTCCAACCAAAAAACACACACAGACAGCTGACAGACAAGACAAATGGATGGGAGGGGAGGTGTGAGACACCATCACAGGACCCTTCACAGTTCACGCTGTGGTTCCTCCTTGCCCAGTCACCCTCTCCTCTCTCCAGCCTGGGGACCAGAAGACTCAGTGGCTGACATCTGTGGGGACTTCAGCCCACTCTGGGAAGCTTCTGGCTCCACCTCAGTGCCTTCTGCCAAGCAGCCCTGAGCCCAGGATGGGTGGGTCACAGGACGGAGAGAGATAGAGGCCAGACCACGGTGGGCATGGGTGGAGGATGGGGCCATCTACAGAGGCAGGTCAGTGCTATTGTGCCGGGTCTTCCTGGCAGTGCCATCATCCCTGGGCAGAGCTCTCTGCAGGTTGGACATGGCCACAGTCTTCTTGAGGTCAATCACGGCATAGGAGTCTGAGCTGCGGGCAGGGTGGGTTATGGGCACCGGGGCTTGGGGAACTGAGGGGTTCTGGGACCCTTTGGAGCGGTCTCCGCCCCAGCCCTTGAGCTCCACCTGGATGTAGTTGAGCTGCCTTGGGGGTTCGGGGCCTGGCCGGCGGAAATCAAAGTTGAAGACCCTTGGGGAGCCACGGCGGCGGGTCAGTGGCACAGGGAAGCTGCTGTGGCTGCGGGTGGCAGCCCGGGTGCTGGTGGGCTTCTGCAGTGGGGTCTCGTCCTCCTCACCATCAGGGAAGCCGTTGGAGGAGGGTGTGAGCCCATCCCTTGAGTCCCCATCGTCCCCAGCCTCCCCACCCAGTTGCTGGGCTTGGCTCTCCCACACAGGGGGCAGTGGGGGCAGGTTCTCATAGTGCAGCAGGGCGGCCCTGCGGTGGGCCAGGCCACTCCAGCCTGGCTCCTCTGGGCTCAGTCTCCAGCCACCGCCTCTCCGCAGCCCCCCACTGACATTCTCGTAGGTGCATTTGGGCTGGGCCGGGCACTCAGAAGAACCCTCATTGTTATTGTTGTGGTGGGGAGGGTCATGCAGGCTGGGGCAGAGGCCCTGGCACTTCATCATGTGCCGCCGAGCAGGAGTGGGGCCCAACACAAACTTCACCTGGCCCTGCTGCAAGAACACCTGCGGGTCCCGCTGGTCGGGGCCCTGGGCCTGTGAGGGTGCCTGGCCCTCAGGCAGAGGCTGCAGGCAATGCCGGCTCCTGCGGTGGTCATCTTCACTGGCAGGTGTGTTGACATAGGTGTGGGACTGTGGGGAAAGAATCCAAGTGAGACAGGAGGGTCCAAGGGTCAGGAGGAAGGAAAGGACAGAACAGATGGGGGAAGACAAAAGAGGCACAGGGGAAAAAAGCTGGAGTCTCCTCTCTCATCTTTCAAACCTTCCAAAGACACTCCCTCTCTTGTGGGGACAGGAAGGAATCCCATCAATTTTAGCCCCCTTCACATGATCCTTCCTGGGAGGAGGTGACCATATTTCCTATCTCCTGTCCCCACCCAGACCAACAGGGCAGGGGCTGGCCAGCTGCATGCTCACCTGCTCATCGGGGGCAATGAGGGCGTGGGTGGACTCTTCCCCAAGTGAAGAGTGTCGCAGGCTGCTTGTTGATGGCCGCTGGGGAACAGAGAATCGTGGGCCCTCTCCAGGGCAGCCAGGAAAGCCATTGGAGAAGCTGGAGACAGTGTAGCCTAGAGCTAGGCCCAGGGGAGGCAAGCCCAGGTGAGGATACTTAAACCTCTTGACAGTCACTTGTAACTCCATATATGCTGTGTTCCAGGGGAGGAATCAGTCCACTACACTGTCAGCCTGCATGGCCTTTCACCTTCTCTTTGCTCCTCAAATCCTGCCCTGCCCCTCAGAGGTCAGTCTGAAGTCGACCCCCACTTTCTCCGTTATAGCCTTCCTGAACCACCTAAGTCACACCTGTTGCCCGTGCACTTCCCCTTAGCTTCACAGCTCTGCTGGCGGGCTCCAGGAAGCCCTCCGAAACAGACTGTTTTCTATCCTTTCTTTCCCCGCTTTCCATCCTCAGGTCAGCTCAGGGAGTACCAAGAGGCAAGCAGGTGCGTGGTCCAGACTCAGGGACTGAAAGCAGAAGCCATGGGAACCCTCCAGGAGAATCACAGCTAGAGATGCCTGCAGTAGCAGCCAGAGGGGTAGATGTGTGACCCAGCAGACAGAAGGAAGCAAGCAAAAAGCTCCAGACTGCCGTTTCCATGGAAACCCAAAGTCTTCCTGTCTGTTCCTCAACTATTAGTCAATACAAGGCCCAGGACTCCACAGCGTCAGCTTGAGTCACCTGATTGGTCCAGCCCAGGACTTATCCATCCTCAAGCGTGGTTCTAATGATGGACAACTGTCCTGGAAGGCTGGCTCGCCCAGCTGTCCCCCCACCTGTCAGCCTGACTCATGCCTCCCAGTCTCGTGCTTCCCGGGCCTGTGCTTTGTGTGTGTACACTGGGGTCCCAGAATGGGGGGTCTCCTCACCATTGGGCTGCTGGGGGGCCCGAGGGAGGTCGAGCTCAGCAGGGTGGCTGTTGCGGGTGATGATGATTGGCTCCTCCAGCACACTGATGCTGTTGCACTGCATCAGCTCCTGGAGGAGGTTGAAGATTTCCTCAGCTCGAGAGCACTTGAAGGCAAATATCCCTGGAGAAGGAGAGGAAGAAACGATGGCTCCTTTGACTCCAGGGCTGAAGAACTCCACAGGCACACCAAGTACAGGGAAAGTCCCTGAACTCCAGTCCCAGGGCTGCAGAGACCTGGAAATACCTCTTCTTGCCCTGATCATTCTTCCCAGGTGCACTCTAGAACCTCAGGGCTATTGGAGGGGCTGGGCCCAAGGTATCCTGTGCCCTATACTCACATTATCTATGAAGGAAGGAAGGGAGGGAGGGAGAAAAGATGCAGAGCTGCAGAGTTAAAGGCAGGTCTGACAAGGCAGTTGTGTGGCTCCCAGATGCAGCCGGCTCACTGCCCTTCCAACTCCAACACAGACTCTGTCCAGGGACTCAGGGAGTAGAGAGATCACCTTGGTGTTGGGCCAGCCTGGATTCTGCAACAGTGGGACCTGAGACTAGAGGCAGGCTACTTGGGGTTAGTGTGTGTGTGTGTGTGTGTGTGTGTGTGTGTGTGTGTGTATACGTATCCACAGCAAAGATAAATACAATTAGGCTAGGGTATGGACAATAATGACTATTATATTATGATATTACTATTAACACAAGGCACAGTATAGGACAACTGTAGTTTGCAGAAAAGAGAGAGAGGAAGAAAATAGGCTATTCTGGCAAGATTAATCTGGGTTGGAAAAGACTGGGAAAGCCTAGAGTTTTGGAAGAACCCTGTGTTGAGGGTTAGGGCAGACTCTCTAGGATGCCAAATGAAGAGCAAACCTCCCTAGGAACAGGAAACTTCTCCTGTCCCTTCCTCTGCTCATTCAGTGATGCCTGCCTCTGCCTATGAGCTCCAAGGGTGAAGTGCATGCATGGAGAGGAAGGCTCCTCCAGCAAATATGACTTTCACCATCCTGTTGGTCACCTCAGTGGAGAAATTTGATCATCCCATTTCTGAAGTTATAATCCCAACCTGCATTTAACCCAATCCCATGTAGGACTCTTTGCAGCATTATATATGGATCGTATACATAAACCCAGACCATGCAACTCCTTCAAAGAGTCATGGCTGGCTCTAACCTTGATCTCATGGTCTATCACCTCCTGGTCTCTGGCTGCAGGGAGAGAGGGGAAAGAGAATACATTACACTCCACTGCTCACAGGTGAACCTCCTGAGGGTTAATATGTCCAGTAGAGACCCAAGTATCCCAACTCCCCAGATATCATTCCCAAGCCACTCATGCCCACAGGAGCCAGTCTCCTAACTGACATGTCTTTCATTACTTATAGGGTCCAGAATGTATGACCTGGAAGCTTAGAAAAAACTGTTTCTACTTAGAGGCAAGAAGGAACCTTGTAACTGCAGTAATAGAGGGGAGAGTCATTTGCTTTTTCTAGGAAGGCTCTAACCTAGGAGCACTGACTCTTTCCCACAGGCAGTGCAACAGATATTATTACAAATACTGAACGAAATGGAAACTCAATGACCAAAGAGAGAGAACAGTGGCCTGGAAGTTCACATAGTTCTGTAACAAAGTGCTGTGTACCTTTGGCTAAGACTCTTCTCCTTTTTTGACAACACCTGTCAAGTCTGATGGCTAAGTTGGATGTTAAAGACCATTCTCAAATTCTACAACAAACTTCCCAACAGTCTCTGGTGCTGTATCTTCCATCCCCAGGTGCTCAAGCCCCTGTCCCGGGGAATGGGCAGGGCTGGTACTCACCCTGGCCTGTCTGACATCTGCGGCCACTCTCAAAGGAGAAGAGGTTAGAGTCATAGCCATAACGTCGCAGGCAGAGGTAGGGCCAGCGGACAGCTTCCCTCCGCTGCAGGTGCAGCACCAGCTCACTCTGTGTCAGCTCCATCACCCCTGAGCCCAATTCTACCCCCTCATCATCCACATTGGTCACCTGGAGGGGAGGGGACAGAAAGGTCAATGAGTGAGTCCAACAAGAGTGTGCAATACCCTGAGCCCCCAGGATGCAGTTTAAGGCAGGAGTTGGGAGACTTCAGGGTATTACCTAACTCCACCCAGACAATGTCTGAATGCCACAGTCACTGGGGATATACAAACAGAGGCAGGCACATGGCAATTATCTGGGCAACCCCCTCCTCTATGGGACTTAGTTATGTCATCTGAACAGAGAGAATAGGGAAATAGTTGACCCCCAAGGTCAGTGATTAGATGACCAGGGTTATATAATCCCGGAGAGTCCACGGCTTGGTATCCAAAGGCCAGACATTTACAATGAAAGGGTTAAACTGTAAGTTCAAATTCTTAAGATGTCAGGAATATCAAGCCAAAGGCAGAAGAAATACATACTGCCTCTACTTCCCCAACTGTGTGACCTTGCTAAGGGTTCCCTCCTCTGGTAGGCAGAGAAACATGCTTCAACATGCCCCAAAATGTCCCAGTGTGGGGAGGAGGCGCCCCCTTCAGGGAGGGGTCAGGGGGCCTTGGCCCAAGGAAGTTTGGCTTTAGCTTCAAAAGGCAAACAGCAAACTGATACAAGGCTTATCATGTGCTAAGCATTACTTAACCCATTAAGTCCCAAGTTTCCTATTCTGCAAATATTACCATGAAATTGACAAAGGTGCATTAAAATAGATTGGAAATCATAATATAGAGCTTATTAGATAATTTGTTATCATTAACTTTACATATTAAATATCACTACTAGTAATAGTATCATTAATAATATTAATGAATATTATATCAATCACCTATTATTTTTCTCAAAATAATAGAACTCTAAAAACATAAATATTAATTTCAAAGTTATCAGAGTGGTACATCTTTGTTGCTCAAGTTTTTTTTTCTTTTTGTACCAGGGATTGAATCCAGAGGCACATAACCACTGAGCCACATCTCCAGCTCTTTTACTTTTTATTTTGAGACAGAGTCTCACTAAGTTGCTTATGGCTTTGCTAAATTGCTGAGGCTAGCCTTGAACTTGCAATCCTCCTGAGATTACAGGCATATGCCAAGATGCCTGTATTAAACATAATCTTAATAGTATCAACAAGAGTGAAAAATGACAATGGCCTGGGCCTTTTTTTTAATCAGGCCACCTTAGAGGCTGTAAATGGGAGAAGATTTAAGCCCACAACCTCAGGCTGCCATTTCACTTTCCATAGACAGGTTGAGGTGACTGCACAGGGCCTCAGCCCAAGAGACCATTAGGAACTCAAGGGAGGAGATGGCTCTAGGTACCTTGAACTTGGTAGGGTGGTTGTCTGGGACGCTGTCTCTGTTCAAGCAGCTACAGCAGCTCCCCATGGTGTCAGAGCAGCCAGCCCACCCTGGAGAAAAATATAAGAGATAAGCAGATCACCAGCAGCCGCTCCAAAAAGCCCTGCTCTGGGGAACTTGGGCAGAATCACCTCACTGTGACCACCTGCTCTGTCCAAGAGACTGTATGACACAGACCTCAAAAGAATTTACTCTCAATTCAGGGCTGGATAGACTTTGGATAAACATTAATTTGAGTTAAAATGTGTTAAGGGTTCATGCTAATGGTGCGGGGGGGTGGGAAAAGCTTTTCAGAAGTACAACATTCAACCTGGACCTTAGGAAATATGCAGGATTTTGACCCACGGAAAGGTAGGGAAGAAAGACCTGGGCTGCAGAAAAAGTATTGATATGATCGGAGCCCAGAAGTGACCTGTCTCGAGAGTAAGGGTGCCAATCCAAGGCCCTCTTTCAGATTCAGCAAAGACACTGTCACTTGGAAGTACCAGATACTTTGGCCTGTACCTTTCTCTTTTTTCCACCTCCTTTTTTACTTTACCCCTTTGACTTCATCCAAGTTCTTTCCTCCTTCACTACTATCCCAACATCCACCTGAAATTTTTCTTGTGGGTGTTTTCTTCAAATAAATTGTGACATTACAATCATAAAGACACATTTGAAAAACTTAAGGTTTTAAACAACACAATTTTTATAACCTTGATTGAATACTTCTCCATTTAAAAACATTCTGGGGCTATAGTTCAGTGGTAGTGTGTGCTTTGTCTGCACTGGGACCCAGGGTCCATTCTCAACACTGCAAAACAGAAACAAAGTGCTGGCTTTGCTCCCCACTGACCAAAGGGGAGACCAGAGACCTTACTATTTAGCTTTTCCCTCCAGGATTCTGGCACTTGGATAATATATCATAACAGTGAGGCCTATTCTAGGATGGAGAGGATACCACCAGGTTTGAGTGACCTACGGAAATAAGAAACTCAGGGACCAATTCTAACTAGAAGTTTCAAGAGGTTGCAATTTGCTGCAAGAATGAGCTGACTGGATCAACTATCCTTCTAAAACTGCAGGATGTACAAAGACTTGAACAACCCAATAATCTGTACTCTCTATTCCTCCCAACTTGGGAAACTCCAGGAAACTCATTTCCATATGCAGCTCTTACCTCACCCAGGCCATTGGGGAGCTGACCATGGGAGGGGCATGGGGAAGGATTCCCACTTTATTCCCCCTGTCCTTGGTGGGGTATCATGGCAAACAGCCTGCAGAGAAGACACCTGGATCCCTCTGGGTCACACCTGGGGCTCACCTAGCATAGAAAACAGAGACCACAGAAAACAGAGATTAATGGAAAACTCCTATCCTTATCCCAACTGATAATGAAACTGAACTGTTATCATCCATTCCATATGGACATTTGTTCTAGATCCCAATGGAACAGAAACACCTATAAAGAAAGATCATGGAACCACAAATTCTAAGCCCCATAGGCTCAAAGAGGGAGAGACTCCTCTGGCATCAATTTGAAGTCTGAGACACCCAAGATGTTCCAAGACCTCCAGGTTTATATTCCCCTGTCAGTGCTATTACAAGCAACAACCAAAACAAGGCCTTACTTTTGCAAAGAATTTTAACTCTACAAAGAACTTTCTTAAAAAGTACATTATAATGTACTAGAAATAGCACTGGCTTAAGATTCAGGAAACCAACATCATAGTCTGTTTTGTTGCTACCAAATATCTGGGAGACTGTCAAGTCAATTCCCCACTACCCCATCCCCAACTCCTACTCGAGGCCTTAGTTCTTAGGGGAAACATTAGAAAACTGTGGCACTCGTAGCTTCAATAACTTCTAGAGGTAAGTATGTAAGACCAACATCACTAAAATGGACAGTTTCCTCTTCCAGGACAAGCTTCTTCAATCGCACATTTTGAAGCTGGACTGACTTTCTGTTCCCCAAACTCTGAAAAGTCCAATTTTAACAAAAATATTAACAAGCCAAATTTGAGAGCATCTGCACCCCAAGTAGAAAAGTCAACAAACTAAGACTCTGAAGACTCTCAAAATCCCCACCCACCCCCTGCTCTGGAAAAAGTATTTCCCAGGGACACAGTGCCCTGCATCTTTGCACAACTCCTAGGTAAAAGGACCCCCACCCTCTTAGTGTGGTTTATTCTCTGGGAGGAAGGAGGAAGGAGGAAGCAGGCCAAAGGAGATGTGCACAGCCTAAAGATAGATTCCTGGGAAAACATTGGAGCTTAAGCTATCAGAGGGAGTGAGGATTGTGTGTGAAACCAAGAACTACGGGGTGCAAGTGGGGGAAGGGTTGTACTTTTCCTGTCTCCATCTTTTCCATCAGATGATGTTTGGACATATCATTAGATAACCCATTGAGGGGAGATTCCATTGGGCGGGAAGGATGGGGGAGGGGGCTCCCATCTAGGATAGGTATGGAGTGGGGACTGGAGTTAGATAGGGTTATGGTGACTAAAATGCATGCATGCAAAGGAGGGACGTGGGCAAGAATTGGATTTGAGCATGGTGCAAAGAAAACAGAAGATATGAAGGCTCGACCTGAGAAATTTCAGGGAAGTGGAAGCATCTGGGGACTTTCAGAACGGTGGGTCTGTGCGCATTTCAGGGAATTCGTAAAGTGATCAAGGGGTTTTGAGGGCTACAGGAGATGCGAAGGTGTGACGGGGGAGGGGGAGAGGGTAGGGTCTGGGGAGTAAGAGGCAGATTTGGCAGCAGGGTTGTCAAGGGGTTATTTCTAGGGACCCGCAAGGAATGGGAAGGTCGGGCCGCGCACCGTGCCTG